CACAGAGTCTCCTGCTTGAGCAGGGGTTGGACTAGAAGACCTCATAAGGTCCTTTTCAACTCTTTTATTCTCTACTTTCTAGGGAAAGAAAGAATGAATTAAACCTCATTTGAATCCATGCTGAAAACCTGAATATGATAAACTATCCTCTAGGATAGTACTACATCCAAGATGTAGTAAAGGTTTCACCTCCCTAATTCCCATTTTACACTCTTCATCCCTGAAAATACACCCGCCCGGCCCCCGCAATTGTCCCTTCATTTTTTTGCTATGGAAACAATACAATGAGCCTCTGTGGCGCAGTGGTTAGAGTGCACTACTGCAAGCTACTTCTGCAGCCAGCTGCCTCCAATTTGGCAGTTCAAATCCCACCAGTCTCAAGGTTGACTCAGCCTTCCATCCTTCTGAGGTGGGTAAAATGAGGACCCAGATTGTTGGGGGCATTAGGCTGACTCTATAAACTGCTTAGAGAGGGCTGCAAAGCACTGTGAAGCGGTATATATAAGTCTGAGTGCTATTGCTATAATGATTTTGGGAGACCTTCTAAATCTATGGCCTTTAGAAGATAATCATAGAAGCCAAGATAGTCCCCAGCCTTTTGGAAGTGTCTTTCTAGGGAAACACTCCCGAAAGGTTTACATTAATTTAGAAAACAATTTCTTGCAGTTGAATGAATCAAGTTATATATATCAGGGGTCTCCAACCTTGGGCCCTAAAGCTGGCTGGGGAATTCTGGGAGTCGAAGTCCACCAGGCTTCAAGGGCCCAAGGTTGGAGACCCTGTCTCTTCAATAATCTTTCCTCTTCTGTTTCTCTGTTAACTTTCAAATACTTCTCTAGAGAAGCATCTGTCCTTGAAGCCAAGTAGAGGCTCTCCCAGAACCAAGGATCTGGCCATTTCCGTCTCCTTTTCCAAGAGAAACCCAACCCATTGTTTCTGTTCATTCTTTTGTGACATCAGTGATTCCGGTGTACAGTACCTGTTTGTCAATTCACTTTTAATTGAGCACCCATTTATATGTGATAACTGGGTTTAATTCATCAAGTTGCACTTGGCCTTTATTTAAATACTGTATACCTTCATGGATGTATATTATGAGATCTTACATTAGGGACATATTAGCATATTTAATAACTCAGAGATGGTGGTCGGAAAGAGTTAATTAGTGTGTTTTGCAAATGATCTGTGATCAATATTGCATTAATAGTTTTTGGAGTTTGCTGTGCATTGAAATTCATTGTGTAAATGTAAACAAGAAATATAATTTTGCCAACTGTTGTATGTGCTTAAATTAGTAATTGAACAAATGTAAGTAAGCCTAATTCTTGAATAATTTAATGTTTTATTTGGTGGTTTAGAGAACTATTTTTTTTAGTGTAGTCTCCTAGTCTCTTCATTAGCTGGGCATTGGGTTCTGCTGAATCCTGCCTCCAAAGTGGAGTGAGAAATGTGATTTTTGGATTTCAATAGTCAGATTATCCTCTGTCCAGGTTGATTTTGTGATTGGGTGCCCATTGGTCATAGTATCTCTCCTATAGAAATGCCCCTGCAGATGTCCCCCCTTTATTTGGTCATCTTTATCTTTGATCCTGAAATTTAACTGAAGGAAAATACTGCTATCCAGGGGTGGGATTCAAATTTCTTAACAACCAGTTCTGTGAGTGTGGCCTAATTTGTGGGCGTGGCTTGGTGTTAACATGACTGGTTGGGTGTGGCTTGATGATCATGTGACTGGCCGGGTGTGGCTTGTATGTAAATATTGTAAATATTTATGTAAATATTGAATTTTTTTATTAAAAAAGAGCAACTTTTACCCAAAATCAAGCAAAGCAGGCAGGCAGATTGAGTTGCTTGCAGAATCACAGATTCACTCAGAGATCTCTCTCTCTGCAATCTGCTGCCTGAGTCTGACACATAAAATTTGCTTGCAAGCAAACTCACAAAATTAACTCACAACACACCATGTATGTAAATATTAATTTTTTTTATAAAAAAGAGCAACTTTTACCCCAAATCAGGCAAAGCAGGCAGGCAGATTGAGTTGATCACAGAATGACAGATTCACTCAGCGATCTATCTTTCTGCAATCTGTTACCTGAGTCTGCACTGAAAAATAGAAGCTTCAGTCCTAAGGAAGGTTCAGCTCTACTTTTAGATCAGGTAGAAAGCAAGAAAACCAACGATTTCCTGCTTTCTATATATCTAAATCTTCTGGCACAGCTGATAGTCGGAACAGCTGATGGTCAGGATAAAAAAAAATGGAAAAATAGCAACTTATTAAAAATTAGGCGAAGGCACAACACAGGCAAGTTGGATGGCGCGCATGCCAGGTAAAGAGTGAGTGGGCGAGGAGGGGAGGGGCGGGGCCAGCCAGTGGTGTGATTTGCAGGTTACCCAAACTGCGCAGAATCATAATAACCAGTTCTATAGAACAAGTCCGACCAGGTAGCATCCCATCCCTGCTATTATCCTGGAACATTTGAAAAAGAGAACAGATAGATTAACTCAGAAGTGTTGCCTGAGATCCTATACCAGTGATGGTGAACCTTTTTGTTGTGATGTGCTGAAAATGCACATGCGTGTGATAGTGTGCGTGTGTGCATGCTGACACCCACAATGCAATGCGCCCCACCCCCCCTGCATGTACGCATGACAACCCCCCCCTTACATGCACTGCACATGTGCATGCCTCCCAGCTGATTTTCAGCTCATTTGAGGTGTTTTCGCCCTCCCGGAGGTTCAAGGAAAGCTGAAAAACGGGCCTTCCGGAAATACCGGAAGTGCCCATTTTCAGCCTCCAGAGGGCCTCTGGAGCCTGGTGGAGGCTGTTTTTGCCCTCCTGGAGGCTCAAGGGAAGCCTCTGGAGACTAAAAACAGGCCCATTTCAGCACTTCTGGTATTTCCAGAAGGCCCGCTTTTTGGCCTCCTGAGGCCACAGAGGCTTCCCTTGAGCTTCCAGGAGGGTGAAAACAGCATCAAATGGGCTGAAAATCAGCTGGGGGGCACGCGCATGTACAGTGCATGTGGCTGGGGCTCACATGCCCGCACAAATGGCTCTGCATGCCACCTCTGGCACACGTGCCATAGGTTTCGCCATCACGGTCCTATAGAATATCTATTTTTAGATTAGATGAACAGAGTTGGAAGGGACCTTGTAGGTCATATAGTCTAACCTCCCCACCCAAGCAGGAGACCCTACATCATTTCTGACAAATGGCAGTCCAAATCTCTTCTTGAAAGCCTCCAGTGATGAAGCTCCCACAATTTCCAAAAGCAACCTGTTCCATTTGTTCATTGTTCCCACTGTCAGAAAATTTCTTCTTATTTCTAGGTTGAAGCTCTCCTTGATTAGTTTCCATCCATTATTTCTTGTCTGGTCTTCGGGTGTCTTAGAAAATAGTGTGATGACCGGGACGGGGCACAAAGGCAACACAGTCATATAAGTAAGAAAGGCCCTTTAATACCTCCAAGTTTGCCCGCAATTTCCAGTTACCTTCAGCTGGAGAAAAAACTCTCCTAAGAACAGTCTTTAAGTGGAGGAAATTCAGTCCAAAAACAAAGTACATATAAACTGTACATAAAAATCCACACAAACCATGCTGTAGCAATTAACTGGACAGGGCAGGATAAGGAATTACAGACTTCAAAGGCCAACAAAACACACACAATTGGGAAGATGCCAGGAACCCAGATAAGCCTCGACAAAACAAGATAATACACAACTTGTTTCCAAAAAGTTGGTGTGCACAAACTCTCTTTTTAAACACTGTGTTCCCAGATGCAGCTAATGAAGGGAATCAGGGCCCTTTCCTCCCCTGTAAGCCACGGAACTCACGTTGCTCCATTCTCCGTTCCTCCCTGTGTTCCTTAGGATGAAGAGGGGGTGGGCCTGGATCGTCCTCTGAATTCCCTTTGCCTTGTTCTACCTCTCCCCTGCTCTGCCCAGCTGGACTGTGCCCTTCCCCAGTTTCTTCCATAGCCAACGGAGCTATACTCCCACTCCCTGTCAGCTGCTCGGCCTCCCCCTCGGAATCAGATTCCGACAGGGGCATGACAAATAGCTTGACCCCTTCCTCTCTGTGGCAGCCCCTCAAATATTGAAAGACTGCTATCAAGTCTCCCCGTCCTTCTCTTCACTAGACTAGCCAAGCCCAGTTTCTGTAACCTTCATATGTTTTAGCCTCCAGTCCCCTATTGGCTTCATGCAAGGAAAGCAGCAGAAGCAGCAGAAGTCTTTCTTTCTCTCCCCCAAACTCTACCAGAAATGAGTCTTTATGAGACTTGTTGCACTGGTGCAGCCTCTTGGAGCAGAATGCCTTGCAGTACCAAAGACTCATTTCTGACGGAGTTTGTGGGAGAGAAAGAAAGACTTTTGCTGCTTTCCTTGTGTGCAGCCAAAAGCAGAAGAAGCAGAAAGAAGCAGCCCAGGCCAGGTGTGTGGGGCGAGAGGGACAAGTTCCCCTCCTCCTCCCTTTCCCCGCTCCCCTCTCTATGTTGTGTTGTTTGCAATGCAAGCTATGCAAGCCTTGTGTTCCCGCAGGCCATGTGGGTGGCACAGCCTTGCGTTCACACGCAGCCTGGATTAATTGCTTTGTGGGGGGGACATTTCCCTGTGGACCACCGAAATTTTCTCATGGACCACCAGTGGTCCCCGGCCCACTGGTTGGCGACCACTCTTATAGAGCATAATTAGTACTTCATATGATCTTGATTGAATCACTCTGGGGTTTAGGATTGCATTGCCTTTTTTGGCTGCCACCACATACTGCTGGCTAAATATTTAATTGGTTGTCCAGTAAGACTCCCAAGATCCTTCTCACAGTTACTGCTATTGAGCCTGGTTTCACCCAGTCTATATGTGTACTTTTGATTTTTCTTGCCTAAGTGTAAGACTTTACTTTTCTCTACGTTGAATTTCATTTTGTTCTACAGCTTTGCCTTCAGCTTTTTGATGCTTGGCTACTTTGAGACTTATATTTCTACTTCTTTTATCCATGCAGGTGAAGAAAGCAGAAGTGTGAAGAAGGCAAGATGGATGTCGATGTGTTAAACATGTTTGTAATAGCGGGAGGCACTTTGGCCATTCCTATTTTGGCATTTGTGGTCTCCTTCTTCCTGTGGCCTTCAGTACTGATCAGAATATATTACTGGTAAGCTTTTCACTTTGCTTGGCATCACTTTCTGTTGCTTTTATAGAACAAATATGTAGCTGTTGGTATTTGCTTAATTGGAATGAAGAAAGCGACATTTCTTTCAAAAGGGGTTCTTGCTTTCCACCTTGTTTTATACTTGCTTTCTTAGCACTGCAAATTCTAAAAAAAATTGAGGTGCTGAATGGTGCCCAATGTAGCTTGATGTTCCTATGGTGTTCTGCATTTTATTCTCTGGATGGTATAAAGCAGACAGAGTAGCTCCATAAAATATCCAAAACAAAGTCTTTTTTATTGGTACATCAGGTATCCTCATAACTCACATTTGTGACGAAGTTTTTCTTAATGTCCAATCCTTTGCATATCCGTCTTGTAGTGTAGAAATATAAAAAGGTCTCAACCCCCTGATGATTGAAGCATGGTATGAAATGGTGGTTTCAGGCAAGAGTGAGGGAGCCTCCCCCAACCCAACAAGGGTCAATATAGTGACCAATCAGGATTACAGATGTGGTCACGTGACATGGACTACATTTCCCAGGATACCTTTAACTACATTTACCATGATGCATTCCCTTAAGGGGACAGCTCACAATTCCTAAGTAACTATCCCAAATCCTATTAACTCTAAACTGTCTGGACAGCACATATGGTGAGAAGAAGTAAGAACCTAGTGTAAATATTAAATATTAAACCCATTGGAAACATAATATTCTTGATAATAATATTCTTGATAACATAATATTCTTGAGTTGATCTCTGTGTAAAATACCATTGCAGGAAGGTTCCTTATATGAGATTGGATGTAGTGACCATTTAATGGTCCATAATATTGTGATAAGCCAGTAATATTCAAGGATTTCAGGCAGAGGTCTCCTCTATCATCTGATCCTAAAATCCTTTTACCTCAAGTTGTTCAGGATTGAATGAAGCACCCTTGCCAAGCAGAATAGCTGTGGCTTATCTGAGGTCAGGGATGGAAAATTATTTTACAACTAGGCCTGGATGCATGCATAATAGACAACAGGGTGCTAGAATATTTTAATCTCCTGTAAAATTATTGTTACTGTTGATGCTCAGTTAGTATAATACAGAATTCTCTTAACAGCATGTATCTAAGTAGCAAGGCATGTATTTATTCTTGGTTGCTAGGCAGTAGATTATTACCTAGGTTACTTTGCCTGATTTAGGAAACTAGATCCCCGTGAATAAAGATGTCAGAAGCTTATTTTCTGAATGGGGACAGGTTCTTTACCAAATGGAGTCATCCACAAGCTACTTTAAGTGATCACACCAGAGGTGGTATTTAGCAGGTTCTGACCAGTTCTGGAGAACCGGTAGCGGAAATTTTGAGTAGTTCGGAGAACCGGCAAATCCTACCTCTGACTGGAGATTTTACAGTATCCTTCCCCTGCCACGCCCACCAAGCCACGCCCACAGAACTGGTAGTAAAAAAATTTGAATCTCATCACTGGGTTAAACATAAAAGTTAGGTGGGATAAGAATATCATCTTTGATGATCTTAGCAAAAGGAGAATTATTGATGAAGGACTGTGAGAGGGAAAGTGATGTCCCTGTGAACAAGGAGAAAAAAAAGGCAAACTTAACTGTGAGGCATGGAATAGAAACAAAGGAATCAATTTTCCTTTTCACATATATAACACCCATCAGCATAATGCTGCTGTGACCATTATGGGATTCTCCTGTGCCTGGTTGAATCTTCTCTTTCAAAAAATTCCTGCCGGATTGTATATCATCAATAGCTGATTTTTGTCTTTTCTTTCTTTCTTCATTGTTGGTTGGTGCACAATTTTTCTGTTCTTCCATCAGAAAAGAACAAGCAGCTCAAAATTAACACATTCTCTGGAATAGGGCTATCTGGGAAATTGGTAGCTTCACCGTGAATGCATTACTAACCTCCAGTACCAGGTTGGATCCAGATTTAATAATAGCCAGATAGATTTGCTGAAATTAATAGACTTAAGTTGGGCATGATTAATCTATACCTCTCCAAATTCAGTGGCCCTATTTTTAGAACACCATATCTGCATTCAGTCCAGGATAATGCAGTACATTATCTTGATTTTTTCTGTTCCCTCCTGCCTCCGTCCCCCATCTACTGCAGAAAATTATTGTTTTATGCCTGGGAGCTCTTTCTTTTTCTTTTTGGTTGCCCAGATCTTTAAACCAGGGGGGTAGGCCGGATTGATGGAGGAAGGGGGCTGGAAGACTGTGCCTCATTTTTTGAAGCATTGGGACGTTTTAAAGAATTTTAGTAAAACAGATGTTTTGGTGCTTACTTAATTGCACTGCCTGGATCCAGCAGCTTGTTCAGGAGTTGGAGCTGCAAGGCTGTATATGGCTCCTGATCTAAATGGTAAATAGACATGGGTACAAATGTATGATGCAAGAAAGGGTATTCAGGAATTGTAAATAACAACCAGTACTTGTAACAGCTACAGTTGGGTTTTGTTCTATTTGGCATTGTTTCCAGCTCTCTGTTTTGCTCTGCTGTGATTGAGGCTTGATCTTGACAGTTATGTCAAAATAAAAACCAGGGATCTCCAATTTTGACAACGTTAAGACTTGTGGACTTCAATTCCCAAAGCTGGCTGAGGAATTGTGGGAATTGAAGTCCACAAGTCTTAACGTTGTCAAGGTTGGAGACCCCCTAATCAAAACGACTGCTTTGTCTTCACCATGATTCTCTGGAAATACACACAGTGGCAAAGTGCTGATACTTCAGCTTTCCCCCCCCACAAATTCAAGGGCATTGAAATTCCCCTTTTAGTCAGACTAGAAACATTTTCTGTCCTGTACAGGGGTGGGCCACAAAAATTATAGCAAATGGTTCTCTGCCCAGTTGCTGGGAGAGCATGGCCTAGTCATCCTCCTGCACCATGGTGTGTGTGTGGGGAGGGGGCATTTTTTCCCTTCCCAGGATCTGGAGGCTTTTCTTGAGCCTCCAGGAAAGTAAAAACAGCCTCCCTGGACTCCAGAGCAGAGATGGCATTCAACTGGTTCTCACCGGTTTGGGCGAACCAGTAGCGGTGATTTGGGTGGTGACCCCTGGCTGGCCACACCCTCAACCCAGTTGCCCGGTCACTCACTTGCTCTGATCGCTGTCCTAGCTTTCCGTACCATGTGGTGGCCTCAGCGCAGCTTGGACGGATGTCCCGTGGCTGCTGCACATGCACACTGTGTGGGCAGCCGCTACACATGCAGTGTGCATGTACAGCAACCCCGGGACATCCGCCTGCCTGCCTGCCCTCCCGGAGCATGCTTTCTTCCTTCTCCCGGTAGATGCACCTCTTCCAGCCTGGTTGGCCCGGCCAGCCAGCAGATGGGTGGGCAGATGTCCTGGGGCTTCTCGCTCCCCCTTGTAGCGAGATGTCTGCAGCTGCTGCATGCTTTTTTGGGTGTGGCTGGAGTCCAGCAGCCGCACCGCAAAAAGCACGCCCTGTTCTATGTGTCAAGCCTGGCAAGTCTGAGCAGCCAGCGCATAGAACAGGGCAGAGCCGGACTATTGGAGAAGTGGAGTGAAGACAGGGATCAGTAATTTTCGCTGCCGCGTGTTCTCTAGCTCCACTGAAAAAAGCACAACATGCACCGATCCATTGGAGAAGCAGAGCGGTTTGTGTCAGTTGTGTTGAGGTAATTCCCCATTAGGAGAATGAGCGCATACAGGGAGACGTATTTGAGAGTAGTGTTTGAATTTAACAAACACAGCACACAGATACACTGTACAATAAATGTAGGTTTTTATTTCCAGAAAGGTTTAAGCAAAGTTAAAAAATAAGCAGTCCAAAGCCATTTACAGGTAAGTTAGTCAGTTTTCAGTCCAGGGATAATCCAGTAACAAAGTCCAGTGTCAAAAACAGTTCAGTAACAGACTTACATCAAATCCAAGAATATCAGTCAATTAGAAGGAAAAATGGAGGAACAGCAATACTCTCCAACAGAAGGAAAACAGAGACTCACACTCTCTTCTGAGATTAAGACCAAGACAACCCAGGTTTCTGGCTCCATCTTATGGCCATTTGAGAAACCACACCCAATTACAATTTTTGCATTTTCTTAAAGATACAGTTTTAAAATATCTATCCTGGTTTATATATTTCCAACCCAAATATCTATTAGGTGACTTATATTCGTAACAAGTTTTATGTTAGAAAATCTGTTTTATTATGTAGAAATGGTAGCAGAGGATTGTTATATAGCCATACAGATTGGTAGCAGAGGATGGCTACATAGAATGGCTGCATATACAGATCAACTAAATTGTACAGTGTACAGCCTTGCTGCTGATCGGTTTTAATTATCACAGGAAGCTCTCCTCAGAAAAGCAGAATCATAGATTATAACCATAGATGCAAACTAAACACTGCCATCTACTGGCTGAATGATTCTGCACAGGTAGTCCTCGACTTACAACAGTTTGTTTAGTGACATGTTTGAAGTTACAACGGCACTGCAAACATAACTTACGATTTTTCACTCTTATGACAGTTGCAGCATCCCAGTGGTCATGTGATTTACATTCAGATGCTTGACAACTCACTCACATTTATGTCAGTTTCAATGTCCCGGAGTCATGCCTTTGGCATCTTTCTGACAAGCAAAATCAACGGGGAAGCCAGATTCACTTAACAACTGGGTCATTAACTGAACAACTGCAGTGATTTGTTTAACAAATGTGGCAAGAAAAGTCATAAAATGGGGCAAAACTCACTTAACAAATTCCTCACTTAGCAATGTGAATTTTGGGCTCAATTGTGACTATAAGTTGAGGATTACCTGTAGTTGTTGTAATATAAAATACATTCTAACATGTATTGCAACAGTTTGAATCCATGGTACAGTATTCATTTGCAAAATTAAATTAGCAATAGGAAGATTACACTTTTGCAATACTAGAATATTTCAAAAGTCAGTCATTGAATATATATTATTAATATGTCCCCAATTCTCATCCTAGATAAAATGAATAAATCATATGTATACAATCTTTTTCTAAGTATTTGATTACTTAGCAAAAGCTTAAAGGAAAGCTAGAAGGTCATGCTAGCATACTACTAAGGAGCCAAAGGCATGACTGAACCCAGGAAATTAACTAAGCCAGAATTCAGGGCTGAAGAGCAACCAATAGACAGGGAAATCTGGAAAGGAAAGCATTGAAGGTTCCAGATACAGAAGATCAAGTGGCCACCCAGGCAGATCATGTTCCCATTAGCTACACCCTCCGTGTCTGCTCTTACCATTCATTGGATATACATCCAGCTGCACTGGATATACTGTATATTTTATTTGTTATATATGAAGTTTATATTATCTCTAGAACAGTTAATATTCTTACAAAATTCTCAGCATTAAAGGAATCATTTTTGATAAATGTCAATGAACAACTTCTTATTTTAATTTTTTTCCCCTTCTAAATTCCAAGATAATCACCATGCTGCTTGAACAACATATAAGCATGTCAGTGTGTGTATGTGTATGCGATTGATTAATGCAAAGCAGAAAAGAGGAAAACTAATCTTGGACTGAACTAATTGCATTGCAATTTTTCTCCTTTGCCTCCCCCTCCCCCCTTCTTACTAGGTATTGGCGTCGAACCCTGGGCATGCAGGTGAAATATGCAAATTGTGGTGATTACCAGTTTTGCTATTCTTACCGAGGAAGATCCAGCCATAGACCATCTATCCTCATGCTGCATGGATTCTCGTCTCACAAAGATATGTGGCTTTTTATAATCAAGGTACGCTCTGTTTCTCTGATGTTCGAAGAATTTCATTTTGAAATTCAAGTGTCACCTGAACAATGGATCTTCAATCTGTGTGTGTGTGTGTGTGTGTGTGTGTGTGTGTGTAACTGACCTTCATTGTACCGAATGTATATTTTGTGTTTCCTGCTGTTATCTCGTCTTGTAACGGGATGATTGAAATTAATGATTTGGAATGTTGATGTTTCTGTTAGAATAGTTTATATGCTCAGAAATAGTGTATGAATCAATCCCAGGGTTAAGATAATATATTTTTTGTTAGGAGGGTTACTACCAAAATATCTTTGTTGTCTTCACCGATGTATTTAGGCAAATACACTTGATTCCACTAGGACTGCGGAAAGTATGGTCACTCTTCCACATACCTATCCTTCAGACTGATTTTTGCTAAGTTGGAAATGAATTATGATGTTGGGCCTGGAAAAGAGGATGCACCGTCTTAGCTCTTGGGCCATACAATTTATGTAATAAGTCTTAAAAATGGTGATATATTTGGGCACATGGATTCTTATAAAGAACTCAAGGTTGGTGAAGAGTTTGTGACTGTGCTTTCTCTTGTAAGAAGACTTTTATGTTTTAGAATACACAAGGAGAAACTAAAGGACCATATGTGGCCCACAACCCTAGAATGGAACCTCATGATGGCAAAGACCTGTCATTTCCTGTTGTACAAGAATGCTTTGTGCTGAGCCAATATGTGGCCAAAACAAGGCTGTTCAATTCCATGGGTAAATTTTCTTGTTGCGCTAGGCCAAAATATGCTTTGCTTAATTTTGGCTTAGTTTGTTGTACAAACCCAGCCAATTACAGTTGTTTGCAACTAACTATTGTTGAGTGAGTAATGGCTTAACATAATGTATAAACCAGGATTGTATTATAATAATGATCATACTGGAATGTTGCCCTTTTGATGATAAAGTATCTTCTGCTTCTGCTTGTTCCTTCACAGTTTCTTCCAAAAAATCTTCACTTGATTTGTGTTGATATGCCAGGTCATGAGGGTACCACTCGGTCATCTCTCGATGACTATTCCATATATGGACAAATGAAAAGAATACACCAGGTAAAATCTGTAGAAGTGCTCCATACATTGTTGCAGTCTTTTGGTTTTTTACAGCTTCTAGTTTTGAAGTAATCAAAAATGAATGGGGAGGTATGTTTTCCTTTATATTTGGGGGAAGAAAGCTACCACAGATTTCTTTATCTACTTCTAGTCCTTTCTCTATGCATTGGATTACTTTGTTGGGGACTAAGGGAGTTTAACTATATTAAAGTCCAGTTTAATACAAGTATCGCAGAAATAGAGCACAGACTCTTGGATGTCAAGTTTTTCCTCTGAGGAGATTGTGGCTTTATTTTTTGTGTGTCATAAAATAAATAATCTGCTGTTTATTACATACTTGAGCATATGTGCCATGTGGGGCATGTCAAATTTTTCAACCTTCAATTTCCAAACATTAGGGGTGCTCAAAAGTTGTGACATGCCTTGGGCATTGTAAAGATATTTTGGTTACTTTAATATAATTTAGATGTGCTTGGTAAGTAACTACATAAATACCATAACTTTTTAACGTTTTATTTGTTTCATTTGTGCCAGTGTCTTCTTCCAGTTCTGATTTCTGTTTTTTCTACATAATGCATTTCAGCCAGCAGTGAAAAATGCTGTCAACTCTTCTTAGTTCTTCTGCTCATACAGAATCTATAATTAGTCTTCTGAGGAGAACTTGTAGCACTTCAGAAATTATTTAAGATGTTGCTATGGAAGTCAGTCAATGCTGTTGGGAGAGTGATGAATTTGACATTTATTTATTGAGAAAATTTTTATGGCCATCTAACTTACGCATAATCATCCCAGGCAGCTTACAGCAATATTCCATGAAAATAAAAATAAACCCACAAAATCTTGCAAAAGACACTAGTATCACAGCATCCTGCCAACTCTACATTTGCTGGGCTCACTTCTATCCTAGCCAAATGCCTGGGCTAAGAGCCAGTTCTTCACAGCCCTCCAGAAGATTAATAGCATGGGGACTCTCCAAATGTCAGTGGGAAGGCTGTCGCAAAAGGCTAGGACAGCCATAGACAAGGCATGTCTCCAGGCCAATGCAATACAACCAGGGGTGGGATTCAAATTTTTTAACAACCGGTTCTATGGGCATGGCTTAGTTGGTGGGCGTGGTTTGGTAGTCATGTTATTGGCTGGGGGCCAACTCAATATCACTCACATCAAGGCACGCATCTCCTCGCCTGGCCTCTCATGACTGTGGGGATGCTGCAACAGTTATAAGTGTGAAAAATAGTCATAAGTCACTTTTTTCAGTGCTATTGTAACTTTGAATGGTCACTCCACATAAGTCAAGTACCAGCAAAGGAAGGAAAAAAAAAACTCCAGAGAAGTTACTGTCAGTCAGTGGTGTATTAACCATCAAGCAGACTAAGCACCTGCTTAGGGCACCAGGCCCAAAGGGGGCACCACAAAGTTGAGAATATGGCTTCGTTTGTACAGTATGTACAAAGGACGGGGGCACCAAGATTTGTCAGTGCTTAGGGCACCAGTGAGCCTTAATCCGCCACTGCTGTCAGTGGTGAAACTCCAAAAGTGGGTGGGGCCACTTTGAATTTATTATTTTTAAATAGATTACTTGCCGTACAAATACCAATAATCAAATAGAAATGCTGCATCTTTTTTCCCCTGTATACCTATTCCTTCATTTTTTTTACGAAAGAAAAAATAATGATCCCTAGATGGCATAGAAATTTGTGGGTGGAGGGGTAAAGGGCCCATGTGGTCCACCCAAGGTGTTCTCTGTAGAGTGTGCCTTCACACACACACAGCTACCTCTAGTTGGAAACCAGCTATAAGTTACAATTATAAATTACACTGTTTTGGATGGTTTGGGTGAATTTGCACATTACTTCTTTGCCTGTCGCATGGAGTTTCTTAACCAGAACTGGATGTGTATCCTGGATGATTACAGCAACCATGATGGTTACTGATTTCAGTTTAAGCCTAACTCTAACTAGACATTGTATGATTGATGTTTACACACTGCTCAGAAAAAAAACATTTCTTTTGAACAGTGGACTAGAAAGGACAGCAACTTGGATTAAGCCCCAGCTTTCCCCCAGAGCCCCTTTTTCAGAATATCCACTGTGTAGTGTTTAAAGTCTTCTAAAAGTTTCTCTGGAATGGCTAGCTGACTTCTAAATGCCTACACCAACTTCTCTAGAGTAGTTGGCTGGTTTCTGATTTGAGAGTGAGATGCAGTGGCATGGGGTAAATGGGAAGACCACAGTGTGAGAAAGAACTGTGCGGGGAACGATGAGCCTTGCTCCTGGCTCATCAGTCCGCCTTCTTCTGGACTCAAGCATCAGGTCTTCTTTATGCAACATACTGAACCCTACAGATGGTACTGGCAAACTGGCAGCCTGTGGGTCAGAATGTGTCATTTGCAGGCCACTCCCACCCCAGCTCCGTGAATGGGAAAAATGTCACATGATAGCAACATGACGCAACAAGTTTGACATCCATGCCATAGAGGATGGGGGTAAGCAAGAGTGTTTTCCCTTGTAAGGCATCGAGAGGTCAGGATGGGTGGTACTCTTCCATAGCTGTTTAGGACTGAGTCTGTGCAAAAGGCTTATTAGCCTAGCTCCGCCCAATGTCAGGCTTCAATGAAGCCGCCAACCCCGTCCGATGGAATGAAGCCCGACACATTACCCTGGTTGGGGGCAATACCCCCAACAATGCCTGGGTACGATACTCCCAGTGCAGCGCCGTGTTGGCATGACCAGCCGGGAGGCATTTCGAAGGCATTTATCAGCTGTTTGGCGGTTTGTTTGGGCTGGCGTCTCAACATACATATAGGAGCTTTTGATTTTGCTGACTGGAACTGATGGTACAAACTATGGAGTTGGAAAATGGGCGTTGTTTACCTGAACGCCACTTTTCCTTGTAGGCAAGACAGGTCAGCGCCACCCTTAGACTGGTTCCCTTCCTGGGACCATGGGTAGTGGGGTTCTCCATTAACTTTCTTGTTTTTTTTACTTCATTAGAGACAACCTGATCTGTCACACAGTCTGCATAAACTGAGGAGGAGTCACCTGGAGTGGGCAGAGCTAGACTAATAAGCCTTTTGCACAGACCCAGTCCTAAACAGCTATGGAAGAACACCACCCATCCTGACCTGTCTCACCTACAAGGAAAAGTGGCGTTCAGGTAAACAACATCCATTCTGATCCAGCTCCCCAAACACCACAAACCCTCTGGAGTTAACTGAAAGATTATTTATTTATTTATTAGGAGTTCCGGCAGACCCCCCAAAAAGTTTCTCTCTCAATGCAGGCCTACAAGTCTGGCCAGCTGGCAGATGAATAGTTGTCTGCCATTTTTATCCCCAGAGCTAGGGTGGGGCTTTGTTAGCAGGGTGGCTCTTCCTTCCCAAGGATCAGCCTACGCATTTCCACTGCTCTCCTCTTCCCTGTCTTCTGCACAGCTGGACATCAGGCACTAGAACCAGTTGTTCCTCCTCTTCCTTATCAGTCACCTCCAGACCTGGGGGCTGTTGACTGTCCACCTGAGGCTCCACTTCTGTCTCTCTCTCTCTCTCTGCCAGCTCCACTCCCACTTCCCCCTCGGAACTCTCAGGTTGCTTTGATGCTGACCCTGACTCCCACGCCGCCTCCTCCTCCTCCTCCTCTGATTCCGCTGCTGGAGGGGGCGGCGGCTGACAGGCCACAACAAAGGGAGTCTCACTTATCTTAACAAAGAGTGAGAATCCTTATATCTTTATGGTATTTTTAAAAGTCTCCCTCGCTAAATAGCTTCCTTGAAATTGTTATATATTTGCATACTTGAAATACTGCGTTTTGATTGGCCCGGTAATACTACCTTGTGATTGGTCCATCAATACTGTCTTTGATTGGTCCGTCTATATACTTGTAATCCTGCCTTTGGATTGGTCCGTCTGACGGTGGGAAATTCAAGGAGCCGTCATTGGCCACGAGCTGTGAGCAGCTGCTATAAAAAAAGGCTGCCGCGGCTCCACAGTTGTTCAGTTTGCAATAGATTAATAAAAGAGCTGAAAGTCACACTGGTCTCGACTCAATCTTTCCCACGACTTAACACTGGTGACGAGGATGGGATACTGAGACGAAGGAGACCAGTTGAGCACATGGCAACGAGAACCGAGCAAAGACGAAATGGCCGGCAGCAACTCGCCACCCGCACCATTCAACCCAGGGACGGAGGACTGGGACTCTTACATCGACCGATTCCTCATGTTCCTCGAGAGCAATGAGCTACAGGGGATATCTGTCAACAGGAAAAGAGCCGTGTTTCTGACCCACTGTGGGCCCACAGTCTTCAGGATGGCCAAAGTGTTGGCAAAACCCCAAGACGTGAAGCAGATGGTGTGGCCAGACTTGGACAGAATACTGTGAGCCCATTATGCGCCAGCCGTCTCCAGCCTCATCCGGAGGCACAAGTTTTACAAACGAGACCAAAAAGAAGGTGAGAGCATAGGAGATTTCATTGCGGTTCTAAGGAACATTGGCGGAGCATGCAACTTTCTCAATATGGATGAGGCCATGCGGGACCACGTGGACCTCGGACTCAGAGATCTCACCTTGCAGAGCCAGTTACTGACCAGACCCAACATCACAGTAACCGAGGCCATCGCAGAAGCTACCGCAGCTGAAGCAGCACAGAAATTGGCAGCCACTATGCAGAAAATGAATAGAGCAACACAGGGAGCTCTAAAAGACCCTAGCCCCGATCCAGACGAGTAGCCAGAGGGGACGTAAAAGACCACTGCCTCTACACACCATGAGGACATCAAATCCATGTTTGAAACCGACGAGGAAGAAGAAGAGATCAATAAACTCCAGGCGGAAAAAAGCAGATGAGACTGAACAGAACGGAAATCAGAATTCCATTGTGCTGGGTGCGGAGGAGACCACCTGTGATCCGAGTACCATTTCCTCGACGCTGTTTGCAGGCACTGTGAAAAACATAGTGCCACTGTGAAACACATAGCCCGGGTCTGCCACAACAGACATAGCTACAGCCCGAGACGAAGAGGAAGCACCCCTCCCCAAGAACAAGAGAGAGACAGACAGGGAGCCATTGGAGCCGAGAAAACAGAAGCAAGCGTTTCAACGAGACCAACAGAAAAGAGGAAACGCATCAAACAATAACCATTGGCCACTCGAGTGCAGCAGATGCAAGACAGGTGCACGTTCAAGTCACCATAGGGGGACAGCCATGCGAGATGGAGGTGGATTCCGGCTCATATCTGTCCATGGTATCGTGGAACACACTAAAGACCCTGATACCAGACATGCAAAGAACAGAATTAGAAAAGCAAAAACTAACACTGAAAGACTACCAGGGAAACAGGATCCCTGTAGTCGGACTCGGACATTTCAAAGTCAAATTCAAAAGACACACAGAAATCCTCCCATTGACAATAGCAGACCAGGATCGCCCTAGTCTGCTTGGACTCGAATGGTTCGCACCTGGGAATCGGCGTGACCAGGATCAACAGCATCACTGAGATGGACTGGGAGGAGAGCCTGATGAGGGAATTCCAGGACGTGTTCGATGGAAAACTAGGCAAGTACCGAGGGCCCCTTTTTCATTCAGTTTGAACCCCAACATAGCCCCAATCAGGCTGAAGGCAAGGCAAGTCCCTTTCGCATTAAAACCAAAAATCGATGAGCAATTGGATAAACTCATCGCACAGAGGGTCTTAGAACCAATAGACCACGCAAGGTGGGAAACCCCAATCGTGACCCCGATTAAGCCAGATGGGTCTGTGTGCATCTGCGGAGACTATAAGGCCACCCTCAACCATGCGCTACAACAAAGCACATGCCCCGTTCTGGTGGTACAACACCTTTTACATTCGTTGGGGGGGGGGAGTTTTTGCGAAGCTTGACCTTGCACAAGCATACCAGCAGTTGCCAGTTGACCCGGAAACAGCGGAGGCACAAACAATTGTGACTCACAGCGGCATTCAAATACAAAAGACTGCAATTTGGTGTCAGCATGGCCCCAGGGGTGTTCCAAAGCTTGATGGAGCGCCTATTACAGGGAATTAAAGGGGTGGTCCCATATTTTGATGACGTGTTGGTATCAGCCAGGGACAAAAAACAACTGGAAAGCTGCCTTAGAGAAGTCCTACAAAGATTTAAAGAGGCGGGACTCAAAGTGAAAAAAGAGAAATGCCAGCTAGCCACCGATAAGGTTGAATTCCTGGGGTAACTTATAGATAAAGAAGGGATCCACCCCACGGAAACGAAAATCAGAGCAATCAAAGAAGCTCCCAGACCCAACAATAAAACAGACTTACAAGCATTTCTTGGACTTATTAACTTTTATAATGTCTTTTTGCCGCAGAAGGCAACGACAGCGGAACCGCTACACAGGTTATTGGATAAGAAAGCTACCTGGACTTGGGGGCGACGAGAAGAAACCACGTTCCAGGAAATCAAAGACTTAATCACATCAGAATCTGTACTGATACAATAAAGCGAAACCTTGCCACTAACAGTAACCTGCGATGCATCACCGTTCAGCGTCGGGGCCATACTCAGCCACACTTTACCGGATGGGAGAGAAGCACCGATCGTGTTCTACTCCAAAACACAATCCAAGGCAGAGAGAAATTACAGCCAATTGGACAAGGAAGTGCTAGCCGCACTAACTGGAGTCAAACGATTCCATGAATACCTTTACGGCAGAACTTTTTCTCTGATCACAGACCACAAGCTGCTTCTAGGAATACTCGCAGGGAACAAGGCCACCCCCAACATATTGTCACCATGGATGATAAGATGGTCCAAGTTCCTTGCCGCATACAGCTACAATTTAATCCACCGACCAGGAAAGAACACATTGCATGCTGACGCCTGAGCCATTCCCCTCTACCTGAATTGGAAGAAGACCCGGCTCCAACCACATCCACCCTACAGATTGAGACATTACCAAACCTGCCCATAACTGTGTCAGACATCGTGAAAGAAACCGCAAGAGACAAAAAGCTGGCGCGAATTTTAAATTGGGTAGGTAAAGTGTGGCCGGAAACCGATCATGACGAGACTTTTAAACCATTCCGGAACAGACAAACAGAACTCGGATGTATACTATGGGGGGATCAGGTTATCATACAGGAAATACTTCAGGAACAAATACTGTATATGTTGCATGAAGGGCACCCAGGTATTGTAAGAATGAAATCCCTGGCCAGGAGTTACGTATTGTGGCCAGGGATGGATAAGGATATTGGGAGATGGGTGGAAACATGCACACAATGCCAAAAAGTCAGACCTGCACCCCCTGCGGCACCTGTACTCGACTGGAAAACACCGAGGGGACCATGGTCAAGGATACACATAGATTTCTCAGGGCCAATGAAAGGACACACATTTTTGATAACAGTAGATGCTTACTCCAGTTGGCTGGAGGTAAGCGTCATGCATTCCACAACAACAGAAGCCTTAATCAGACAGCTGAGGAAGCTGTTCGCAACACATGGGTTACCGGATTTATTAGTCTCAGACAAGGGGCCATAATTCACGGCGTTGACTTTTGAAAGGTTCCTCACCAAACAGGGAATAAGGCATGCCCTAGTAGCATGGATGGGCGGAACGCATGGTTTGGTTTACTAAAGAGACAATAGAGAAACTAGACACGGGTGACATCCATGAAAAAACCCTACCAGTGGAAATAACCCAAATAACAGGACCCCGGTCATACAGAGTAGAGACAGAGGACGGAAGAAACTGGAGGAGACACATAGACCAAGAACACTAGGGAGAAAGACTAAAAACCCTAGGAGCGAAAGAGAAGAACACGCACACACACAGGAACCACATCAAACATTAAAAAATAATAGCAACCAAACCAGAGAGGGGAGAGACCCCTCAAACACAAATGAAAGGGGAGGGGGAGACCCTCCACAAACACGAGAAACAGTGAAACAGACCCTAACAACTCACCAACCAACACTGCCAATAGCCCCAGTAAGAATTCGCAATTACTTACCTGAAGATGACTTCGAAAGAAGGGAGCAGGCAGCGGAAAACCAACACAAAACCACTCCTGGAAGGAACAGCCAAGCCGACTCAACCAACCTGGGTAGACCGGGCGGGAGCGGCAGCCGAGCTGACTCAACCAGCCCGGGTAGACCAGGTGGGAGTGGCATGGCTGACTCACCCTTCCAGGAGGTTCCACGGAGAAGGATGGGAGAAACAGCGATCCCGTCCGAACCGGCCGAAGATAACACCGCAACTGAATTGCACAGGTCAAGTAGGAACCATAGAAGCCCTGCCTACTTACGTGACTACATAACGTAGGTCGGACTAAAACAAATGGGGAGGGGTGTTATATATTTGCATACTTGAAATACTGCATTTTGATTGGCCCGGCAATACTACCTTGTGATTGGTCCGTCAATACTGTCTTTGATTGGTCCGTCTATATACTTGTAATCCTGCCTTTGGATTGGTCCGTCTGACGGCGGGAAATTCAAGGAGCCGTCATTGGCCACGAGCTGTGAGCAGCCGCTATAAAAGAGGCTGCCGCCGCTCCACGGTTGTTCAGTTTGCAATAGATTAATAAAAGAGCTGAAAGTCACACTGGTCTCAACTCAATCTTTCCCGCGACTTAACAGAAATCACACATGATTTCTTTATGGACATGTTCTTGGGCTCTTCTGGGCAACAGTACGGAAATGACTTGCAGGATGCTTTTCTGTACTTCTCTGTTCTTGGGGTTCCCTGAAGGCCTCCCATCCAAGTACAGACTAGGCCTGACTTGCTTAGCTTCTCAGCCAAAGCCACCTAGCCAGAAGCTGTCCTATCCTGAAATTTCAAAATTAACAGGATTTTGCTACAGTATTTTAAATGTTGCAGTGTTCCCTCTTTGGGGATATTTACTTCTTCCTGATCCAGCACAACTTTTCATAAGTAACAGCAATTCTTTCTTAATTGAAAAAGAGCTCCCAGATTAAAGCAATTTCTGCATCCAGTTATGGTTTGCCTATACAAATAAGCTTTCCTAATCCTTCCTGTTTTGGATTAGGGGAGACAGCAACTTGGATTAAGCCCCAGCTGTTATGTTGTGACCTGCAGGATGCTGATGCATGGCCTCTCCTTTAATTTTCCAGTTTGTTGAATGTATCAATCTGAACCGAAAGCCATTTCATCTAATTGGAATTTCTATGGGTGGAAATGTGGCTGGTGTTTATGCTGCTCAATATCCAGCAGAAGTCTGCTGCTTAACTCTTATGTGCCCTGGAGGTGAGTTCCCCTGTTTGTGTTGGAGGCACCATTTAAGGTGCTTTGGGGTTGAAAGGATTAGCCAGTGACATCACTGTTGCCTAGGAAAACCCATGGGGGGCTTCTTTCGCGTTCCTGTCAAGGAGCTGGAGTGAATGATGGGAGCTCACCCTGCCATGCAGCAGTCTTGAACGCGGGCTTGTTAACCTTCAACCCAGCGTCCTAACTATGTGAGCCACCACGTTCCTGCAGGTGAATGATGCAAAGGATATCTGACTGCTGAGAAAGTAGTAAAATGCATTGGATGGGACCCAAAAATTATGTTTGCATGCTAGATCCTAGGAAGAAACACGTCTTCTCTCTTCCAAGGGCAGTCCCTATTTAGTGGAAATGGACACAGGTGAATCATTCTGGATCTTTCTTTCCCAGTTTGGTGCCCTCCAGATGTGCTGGGATGAGAATGTTGAGGGATTAGTCTACTGTACTATTTAGAGCGGGAGATGCTTCGTAAATGCTGACTGAATTCAACAATAGCAAATAATTACAAATACTTTTAATTGAATTTGTAGTTCCATGCAATTAACTAAACTAAGTCCATGAGTCAGGTCGGGTCTTGTTATCACTTCCTTTTCTTCATTTCCCCCAGCTTTTATTTTATTTAATTTTAAATAAAAATTTCTCTTTCAGGATTATTGAGAAAATCTATTGCTTTGTGATCTTAGTACACAATGCTTCTTCTCCTCTCATTACAGGTCTGCCCAATGCCAAAGAAAGCATTTTTGTACAACAAATGAAAGAGCTGATGAAGAAGGAGTGCTATGATGAGCTTCCTATGATTCCATACACTCCAGAAGGAATGGCAGACATGTTGAAACTGTGCTCTTATGTTCGTTTCAAGGTGCCTCATCAAGTAAGCGAATGGCATCATAGGAAAACATATTTAACTGTTTGTTTGTTTGTTAGTTTGTTTGTTTATTTTGTCAAGCGATTATAAGATAACAGGTATAAGTATAGACATAGTTATGAATAGATGAAATGGATACATATAGGAAAAATAAAAAGAAACAGTAGGACAGGGACAATAGGCACGTTGGTGCACTTATGCATGCCCCCTACAGACCTCTTAAGAAAGGGGTGAGGTCAATAGTAAACAGTCTAAGGTTAAAGTTTTGGGGGTTTGGGGAAGAAACCACAAAGTCAGGTAGAGTATTCCAGACAATGACCATTCTGTTGCTGAAGTTGTATTTCCTGCAATCAAGTTTGGTGCAGTTTACCTTGAGTTTGTATCAGTTGTGTGCTCTTGTATTGTTATGGTTGAAGCTGAAGTATTCATTGATAGGTAGGACATTGCAATATATAATTTTATGTACTATACTTAGAGCGGACCGAAGGCAGCATAGTTCTAGGTTTTCTAGGTCTAGAACTTTTTTTCTAGGTCTAGAACTTCCCCCCAAATTAGTTGTTTTATTGAGGGCTACAAATAATACATTGTAGAGACCAATGAAAATTAAGTGCAGTGGTATCTATTTAACAGAAACTGAAAACTCTTAACACTGAGATTAAAGTAAATTAAACTAGTAAATTTATATCAATATACGCATACGCATATTTGTACGAACATAGACTTGCTTATATTATTTATTTACTTAAGAAAATTTGGATGGCCGCCCATTGTCAGGGACTCTGGCTGACTTACAAAAATAAAAATAAAATCAATATACAAACAATAAAAAAACAGTATCTCCCCGCATAGTGGTTGCTTAATTTGACTTGATTAGAAGTTGCAAAGAGCATTGAATTATTTTGTAATATGAAAAAAAGTTTATCTTTTTGAATTTAATATTTTATATTATTTTCAAGTTTCTGCTATTTATGACTAGTAACTAGAAATTCCCATAGTTAAATGAGGACCATACAGTTCGCTAAGGACTTCAGGTGATCGTATCTTACAACTTCTTGCCAGCTTCCCCATTGATGTTGGGAAAGTTGGAAATCAGAGTCATGTGACCATGGCTCACTGCAATGCTGTAATAAGGAGTTGGGTACTGACTGTGTAGACTGTGATCCTGCAATTGTGGGGATGCTATGATGGCTGAAATTTCATGGAGTCACTGTAAGGCCCTTTTGTTCAGCGCCATTGTAATGTTGAACAGATGCTGAATGAATGTATATAAACCGAGGACCATGGGTAATCCTGTTTTTGTCACTTACTTCAGCAATATTCAGCGAATTCCTTTGAGGGTTTTTTGTATGATTTCTATGCCATCAGGCCTGGGAATAACGTAATATTTTTTGTGAGCCTCTATTCAGTTTTCTAGTTCAGGGAGTTTTAGCTATGATATCAAATTCCATGAGAGTGATGGAATTTTCATCATTAAACTGTAAGGTTTGGCAAAGGATATTAAAAGCTTGGGCTACTCTTCTTTGGAGAATAACACATATTAGGAACAGAATGAGGGCTATAGGAAGCTGCTTTAAATGGAAACAGACTACTTTGCCAATGTTTCTTCAGAGCTCCTACAGGAAAACCTTTGCCAATTCTAACTGGAAGTACCAGGAATGAAGTTTGCAATCTACTGTGAACTGGCAGCCATTGGCAACTTGTCAGAGGCATTTCATTTTTCCTCTAATTGATTCAAATTTTCTGAACATTTAGCAGCTATATGGGTGTTAGAAAGAAAAGTGCCTGTTATGTGCTATGTTGGAGGGACATTTTTTTAAAAAATAATAAAATTTCAATTACCAAGCATATGAAACTCTTAGTTAAATTTTCTCTGGTAATACAACAGGCCTCTGTTTCCCCATTTTCCTGCACAGTCCTTTGCTGTCATAAGTCTCTAAATAGTTTATATCTTAATTTAAGTATTTAACACAGAGACTGGAAATCTGAATGTTCAAGAGTCTGATCGCCTGCAAATGCCCAACAAGCTCCTGGAAATGAAAAAATGAACAACATAATGAGCTTTTTATATGTATATCAAGAGGAATGGTGTGCCCTGGCTTCATTTTTTTAATATCTCCTTTTATATTCATAGATCCTGCAGGGCCTTGTTGACGTTCGGATTCCACATAATGACTTTTACCGAAAATGTGAGTGCCTTGCAGTAATTTTCTCTTGGATTTGAGCAAGGGTGCAATTCAACCAGTATAATGATGAGTTCGGTGAGAGTGCGCTTTGCGCACGCACATGCACCAAATGCGCACTCTGTGCACGACTCCGCATTTAAAAAAGCTGCAGCTGAAGAAAACAGCTGAAGCACGGCAAACCGCTCTGCCGCACGAATCAGCTGTGCTTTAACAAAAAGTCATATAGCACAGGAAAGAGCAGGAACAGGCGGGGGGGGGCACATACTGGTCAGAGCGAACCAGTTTGGAGCCAGCTGACCATTGGAAAGAGGGGTTCACCTGAACTGGTCCGAACCGGGAGAATCCCACCCCTCGATCTGAGCTGAAAACAGCAGCATCTTCATAAGGGTTCCAGAAGGGAAAATTGTTCCACCGCTTTTGTACATGACATCATCGGCTGGATTTGCATTTTGTCATCTTGATGAAATCAGATTCTTCTGATGCTACTGATTGAGGACGCTTGATTCATTTATTTATCGATTTTTTTAATCCAGAAAAAAAATCTAGTTTGTTTTTCATTAATTGAAACAGTGCCAAAAGAGTGTTTACTTGACTTGTTTTTTGTACATGAGATCAAGATGGCATACATAATGCCTTTTCCCCTCCGTAACAACAACCCTGTGAGGTAGATTGGGCTATGGCCAATATTAACAAGAATTAAAACAGTTTAATTTATAAACTGTTTTAGGGATTTTTTAAAAAAACCTTTGCATATTTAAAGGACTAGACTCCAGTAATGGATGGAAGAGGCATAACAAAACAATAGTGAAAGAGAGGCCTTTAGCTTTGGGGACCTGGGCAAAGAAATCTGAAGTGGGTGTTTTAGTACATTTGATTTCTGAAGCCTCTGCTAACAAATTGCTTGCATGCTTCCTTTCTTCACTCTAATTTGGTTCTAGCTTTGAGCAAAACTCTCATTTTGAGGGATTTTGGTTAAGGTTAAAAACTTTGAAAATGATGCCGAGTCTTTTTACGATGCCATTTCAATTCCTCCCTCCCTTGCTTTTCAATTGGTATAGAAATGAATGATGCACAGCTAAGAGCAAATACCTGAGACTGTGAGAAGATGGAGAAATGGCCATGGGAAAAGGGGTTTGGGTTATAACTACAAAAAAAAAAAAGTGTTCCGTCTGTATTTGTTTTCCAAGGAAATATAATTTTGCTGCACCAGAATTAATCAGTGAATGAATGGCTGGGTTTGTTTCCCAATCCTTCAGCCTGGTTCCTGAATTAGCATTTTCTTTGGATTTGCCCAACACATCAAATCGTAAGTGACAGACCCTCCTTGCCCTGGCACTGTTGTCTCCTCAACTGACCTTGTTAAGTAAGGCTCGTGAAGCCAGCCAGCCAATTGTCTGAAAAAACTTTTGTGTCTCTCTGCCTGTGGAGGCTCTCCTCCTGCTAACCTCAGTAATTATTTTCCTTGTTTCTGCTGTCTCACTGAGAAGAGTCTGTTGCCATTATTTTCTTTCTGGGTGAAAGACTTCTTTCTTGAAGTCTGTTTCATCGTAAATGGAATTCTACGATGCTTTGGGTGGGCTGATTTGCTTCCCTCCCACTCACTTCTCTTTCTCTTCTGTAAGTGTTGCTAGAGTTGATGCAGGACAAGAAAAGGACTGACCTTCAAGACAACATGAGCAAGATCAAAGCTCCAACACAGATTATCTGGGGGAAACAAGACCAGGTATATCAGTTTCCCTCTGGGGTTTTTAACCGAGACCAGTCTGTAAACTATTCTTTTTTTCTTTTTCTTTTAACCATGTTTCTCCTAAAACACGACCCACCCCAAAAAGACGGCCCAGCACTGTTTTGTGCGCCTGTGTTAAAATTAAGCCCTGTCCCCCAAATTTGGCCCTATTTAAGCGCATGTGCGGTCAGACAACATGAAGTAAGGGGGGGGGAAAGGGGGGGGGGAATTTGCCCCACTCACCCCACAAGTCTGGCCTGGCTAATGGGCCACTTCTTTTGTGACTGAAAGGAGCAACCCACTCTCCCCACATGCCTTGCCTGGCAGGCAAATCAGTCTGGATTTCCCCATTGACTCTGCCTGTCAGCAAGTCACAAAAGAGGATCATTTGACCTAGGGCTACCGTATAGCCATCTGCAATAGGGACCTTTTTTTGTTTTTGCAAAAGATGTTCCTTGCTGTGCTGGGCCACATGGATCAGGACAAACATAAACACTGAAAAAAACATTATGTACTTCAGGCATGGGGAGTGTCACTCGCCCACACACTCTTTGTACAGGTGTGCCGGAGTGGACAATGGCAGGCTTTTTTGGGTGGACTGCTTCCAGTAGCTGGAGTGACCGTTAAATGTAGACAAGGGTGCTCAAGGCATGTGGGTTGCATCACTCACTCTTTTTGGCCGCAAAAGAAGCAGCCCAGTGGCTGGGCGAGGCACATTGGGCGAGTGGGTCGCTCTTTTCGGCTGTGAAAGAGATAGCCTGGTGGCCAGGCAATGTGCGTGGGGGAAAAATTAAAACACCCCCTCAAAAAAAAAGGCCTAGCCATTTTTTAGGGGGGTTAAAATAAAATAAGACCTGGTCGTATTTTAGAAGAAACATGGTAGTATAATGTTGCCTTGCTCACTTGTGAAATATACTGTATAATGCATGCCCCAATCTATATGGTATTGAATAACATGTTGCAACCCTGTTTACCTCAGAAGCCATTTTAAAATTATACAACCTGTCTTCCTGACTTCCCATTGGATTTCATGCAATTTGTGGTCTGAAAATTAATAGGTTTGCAATTTCCCTCTCCTTTTTCAGGATATTATTTGCCACATTTTTCATATTTTTATGCTGCCATACCCCAAAACAACTCTGGATGTCTTTATAGATTAAAAACAGTAAAATAGAAAAAAGAACTGACAAAGCATCAAATATAACTGGCATCAAGGAAAACCCACCATACATGCTAGTGAAAAAACACACCATACCTCCATTGCAATGATTGAAGTACACATCGTATCACCACTCCTTCCCTCCAATTTAGACTTTTAAATTTTGCTTTTCCTACTAGTGAGAATGTATGTGTGTGTGTGTGTGTGTGAAACTTTGTCTGCTCCAGATCAGCAGTTTCCTAGATCAGCTTACTGCCTTCCAATTGCAGATACTGTCTCTGAGCTATCATATAAGAGGATGGCAGGCCATGTTAGTTTCTCCACACAGCATTGCCTCAAAAAACAAACAAACAATTGCAGAATTACTAAAGGTGAGAGCAGCAATGCCTTGAGAGCCTCTTAAAAGTCATCATACATAAGTAAAGTAAAGTCTACCTTGAGCTGAGGTCCATTCCTGGCAACTATAGTGCATGGACTTGCCACGGTTCTTTCTTCACAAGAACACTAAAGAATTTTAGCATTGCCATCCTTGGGGACTTCGTTTGACTGCTCTAGTGGATTTCCTGGTGGTTTCTCATCCAAATACTAACCAGGGCAGACCTACTCTTCAAGATCAGCCAAGATAGAGTAGGTGCAGTGACCGTTCTATGGTCTCAAATGTGTAAACTAGACCACCCTGTATTATTTTTGAGGGTATATTTGTATAAAATAGTAGCATATGCACCAATGAAACCCAAACAAAAACTGCCATCTTGCCTGAATAGAGTTTTATTTGGAGGAAATGCCATGAGAGAGCACAGAGTGACCCTGATTTAAAGACCTATGTAGACTCAGTACACCCTTGGAGTTTACTCATTTGAGTGCAGATAGCAGATCTGTATTCAGACATTCTAGATACCTGGAAGGGCAAATGTTGTGAAAGTAAATGAGGCAGTCTGGATAGAAGAGCCCCATAAATGGAGAAAAACTCCCATACGTTTATTATCCAAGTATATTATCCAGGTTAATAGAAGATAATATGAAAGAGAGGCAGGATTGGGGAGAATTATGAATGAAGGCAAATATATGTGTCCCAGGATAATGTTGCAGGATCCATTCTGGGTTAGTCACCGGGACCAGAGGTATCATCTTTCTCAACTTCTCAAGTTCTCTGAGCATGGGCTCCAGCACGAGCCCGAAAGACTAAACCTCTGGTCCCGGTGCCCGACTCAGATTGGATCCTGCAGAATGTCAATTCACCATCTGTTATATTCTTCTTGGGAGCAAAGATGTCATTTAATACTAAGCTCCGTCATTAGCAAGAGAGAGATTGCCATGACAATGACAAGGAGTGATGCTATTCTCTGACTTGTAAACAGACTTAAGAAATAAGTTAACGACATTTCCTTTGGGAAGGAAATGAGAGGACAGGAAAAAAAGTAGGAAATGGTGGCAAATGGGGAAATGATTTTATGTGGAAGAAGTAGAGGGAAGAAAAGAGGGAAGAGCTGGATGAGCCTGAATGAGCATGGGCCTAAGTATAGAATGGTAGACAATTATAGGCTCCAGCAACCTTTCTTCAAAAGCCCATGTCTTTCTTCTGCTAACCATCTCAAACTATAACAAGCATGCACCATCTCCAACAGGTGTTTTTGAGCCACGAGAATTGAATAGTAAAAGATACTTCATATATCAATTGTTGCCATGATATAGCAACAGTTCCTTGGTGCTTTCTGAATTTGGTGATTTTCTTGCAGACATTTCATTATCCACGGTAGATAAACATCAGCGCTAGACTAGCCCTGATGATGAGTAATGGTGGTGCAGTGGTTAGAATGCAGTACTGCAGGCTACTTTTGCTGACTTCTGGCTGCCAGCTGTTTGAGTCTCACTGGCTCAAGGTTGACTCAGCTTTCCATCCTTCTGAGGTAGGTAAAATGAGGACCCAGATTGTTGGGAACAATATGCTGACTCTGTAAACTGCTTAAAGAGGACTGTCAAGCACTGTGAAGTCTAAATGCTATTGCTATTGCTACCTAGTTTGGGTAAGAAACATCTGCAAAAACCCCACCAAGCTCAGAGAGCACCAAGAATGCCTTATTTCAACCTTGAGCTACAAATATTCTCCCTTATGGAATTCCATTTATGAAAACAAGTGTGAAAATTGTGGCATTTTTTTTTACATTTCTTGTCCTAGTTGTTTCCTCGTGCAGTCAAATTGGTTTCTTTGTGAGCCAAATTTGGTGCTGAGTCAATTCAGAATATCCTGTTGAATTCAAGAATAACAAGAGTAACATGGAGGTTACTTTTTTTTGGTTATCTTTTTCTCTCTAGGTGCTGGATGTTTCAGGAGCAGACATTTTAGCAAAAGCAATCCCTAGTGCGCAAGTACATATTCTGGAAAATTGCGGGCACAGTATAGTCTTGGAAAGGCCCAGAAAAACAGCAAAACTTATTCTGGATTTTGGCACCACTGTACAGAATGCTGAAAATAATAAGAAACTGGCTTGAACTTTTCCTGTGAGTTTGAACCCTTACGCCTAGATGTTTCAGTTGAGAGGAAATACTGCTTATTTAATCAGTTCTCAGGGATCCTATTATACAGAATTTGGTGATCGTGCCAAAATCCCTGAAGAAATAATTCATGTATTATTTTAGAAATCTTATCAGCGCAATGTTCTGGGATACTGAACAGCCTTCACATACATATGCTAATGATAATAAAGTCTAATAAAAATCTGCATTTCTAGATACTTTGCAGAATAATGAAAGACTTACAAGGTAGATGTGTGACACATTTTTCCCTCAAAAACAATCCTCTGTTTTTGATACTGATTACACGTTTTAAAATGTCCAATTTGAATTAGATAACATGATTATTGCTAAGTAAAGTAGAAAAAAACCCACTGTCTTCTGTTATTTTGCTCCTTTCTTGGTCTTGTAATAATTCACTGAATTAAACATCAGAGAAAAAAAAATGCCAAAGGGGAAATCCTTTTAGGACAGATTCTTATATGGGTTCTATGTCAGGAGTGTCAAACTTGATTTCATCGAAGGATGCGTCAGGATTGTGTTTGACCTCAGGGGCATGGCTGGGATGGGCATAGCCAGGGTGGGCGTGACCAGGGTGGGTGTGGCCAGCTTGATGTCATTCGTCAAGACTCTATTTTTGGCTCGGCCTTCTTCAGCCCTCTGCCAGAAAAAATGGAGCCTGGGGAGGCCATACATGGCCCGACCAGGCTCCATTTTTGGCCACAATGGCCTTTCTGAACTCAATTTTCACTGGCAGAGGGATTCAGGAGGCTGTTGTGGCTGAAAACAGCCTGGGAGGATCATGGGTAGCCTTCCCAAACTCCGTTTTTGATGGCTGAGGCACCATGATCTGGTTCGCTGTATACACACACACACACACCTCAATATATCAATATAATTATAGCATATATCAGTATAATTATTGATATATTTATAAAAACTAAAATATGACTCACAAAATTCTGTGTCAAGGAATGCATTGACCTCTTCTAGGTTTATGCAATGACTTCATGCGATCTAGCATAATATCTAGTAATGTAGATGGCAATTGCAATTGATTTTTGTAGGAAAAATAGCCTTGAGCCAGGGATGTGTCATGTGCTAGCCACGTCCACGCCCGGTTTAGCAAAGGGGAAAAAAAGTCATGATACTTCACGTCACAATGCCATGATGACACAAGTTTGACACTCCTGGCCTAGAGCAAAATTTCATACAGAGAAGCAAAAGTCTCTTAATATAGATGACTTTGCATGAGGAAATGTGACAAGAGGCTTGGATAATCCAGATATTCATTGAAGTACTGTTTGTATTAAATTACAATTTCAGCCAAGAAAATATATGCACTACATATTAAACCTATAAAAGTTTTCCTGATGTGGTGCAAGGCTTCAGTGTTTATACTGATTTATGAAGAAGGTGGTTTTGTGCTCTTCCACAGTTAGTATGTATGTATTGCCTTAGGAACAAATTGAAATATTGATATCCTCTGGACTGACTATAATTGCAGTAGTCGAGCACTTGTGAAGTAGCTGGATCTCTTTCCTTGAAGGGCAGGTCATTGGGTATAACACTTGTGCATGCATAAAACTTGTGCACACAAACATACACCTATAGAGAGGTTAAATTCTATTAAAGTCCATGTGACTATCTCTGATGCAGGTGGTTAGCAAATTTCCTGGGAAGAGTAATCTTACTGTATAGCTAATAAAGTAAATGGAGCTTTCCCAAAGCCATTTCCGGAGCCATTGTTTCAATCTAGATGGGACCTGATCCAAGCAATAACACCAGAGGTGGGTCTTCAGCAGGTTCTGACCCGTTCCGGAGAACCGATAGCGGAAATTTTGAGTAGTTCGGAGAACCAGCAAATACCACCTCTGACTGGAGATTTTACAGTATCCTTCCCCTGCCACGCTCACCAAGCTCCGCCCACAGAACCGGGAGTAAAAAAAAAAATTGAACCCCACCACTGAATAATACTATATGTAAATAAATGTAGAAGTGATCAAATTTTGGTTAGAATTGGGCAGAACTACTTTTTCAGCTCCCTCTGCTGCCCCTTTTGATTGAATGTTCTACTGAGTAAATTATTTACTTAATGAATTCTGTAAATTCTGTGAATTGTTGAGTTTGAATGGAGGAAGAGTGGAACTGAAATGTGCACCAATAAAGTAGAATTGGGGTATTCTAAATGTTTATTTGTTATGCTCACCAGACTCTTACAAAGTGAATTATTTGTCAGTCTTCCGCATACTCTGCTTTTAAATTAATATCTAAAGAGTATAAAACATACAGTATTCCTTTTCCAGAGTATGTGTTCTCATTTCTGAGTGCAGCTCTTTAGTGAACAAAAATTCTGTATCAGATTTAGAAAGTTGGACTTGTTACCTCCTTGTAACTACCCTTTCCCTTTTTATGTTTATATAGAGGCTTGTGAAAAACCTTCCCATCAAGAAACATTCAATGAATGTTATTCCATTGAGTAACAATTTGCAGCATATTGAGTGTTTGTAGTCTATACCCAATGTATATTTTAGAGTGGCAATTAAATGAGTGAACTGATTCCAAAGTAATTTGACTTTGAACAAAATTTGTATGTGTTGAAACATTAAGAGAGTGTGTTGATACCAGGTATGGTTTCTGATTTTAGAACCACTGTGGAAGTGAGATAACATTATATAATGTAAGCTTGTTCCAATTAAAATATTTTATTTGTGACTGATTTCTTCCAATCAAACCCTTGCAATTCCTTGTATTTTCAACTTTTATTTAGGAATGCAATCAAATTACTTTGCAATGCATTTTCATTACAGAGTCATGAATGGGCTATCTTTTCCTCAAATGGGGTTGGGGGAACTCAACTTAATTATTGAGGAAAAATGAGAAGCCGTGCATTTTATTCAACAATTGATCAATATTTCTAGAAGTAGAGATTAAAATACAAAACCAACAGAGAACAAGTCAATTTTTAGTATGGCTCTCAGAAGCCAATGTACTGTACACAGAAAGATCCAATTAAAACATAATTTAAATATCTTGAAGTCTTGAATGTGTGGGGTTTTTTTTGTCCAATCCTTTTTTTTATTTCTAGTGTTCAGGCTGCACGTACCACTGCTTGATAGCTAAATCTACCCAGTGAGCCTGCTAACACAGGTAGGTAGTTATTGGCTTACAACCATTCGTTTAGCAGCTGTTCAAAGCTACAACGGCACTGAAAAAAGTGATTTATAACCAACTAGCTGGATACCCATGCTCTGCAACAAAACTATGTGATCAGGCTATGCAGGAGCCCGGCCTTTCCTTCTTTCCTCCTTTCCCTTCCCATCCTCCTTTCCTTTCCTCCTTTCCCTTCCTTTCCTTTCCTTCTTTCCCCCTTTCCCTTCCCTCCCTACTTTCCTTTTTTCCTCCTTTCCTTTCCTTCCCAAGATTTAGATTTACGCAATTTAAAACCATCTCTACCTATTGGACTGGACGGAATATGTGCCTACTTCTGAAAAAAGCTACCCACTGCCATAGCCGAACCTCTAAGCATAATCTTTGAAAAATCTTTCAGGACCAGCTCCTTGCCAGAACTATGGTCACAAGCACGGTCATCCCCATCTTCAAAAAGGGAGACCCCAGCCTAGTTGAAAATTACAGACCAATCTCTTTATGCTGCGTCACCTGTAAAGTCATGGAATCAATTATTAACCAATCCAACATCCTCCACTTAGAAACAAACAAACTACTCTCTAATAAACAATTTGGTTTTAGGAAAAAACTATCCTGCAATCTGCAACTCTTACACTGCAAAAACATATGGACTACACAACTCGATCAGGGAAAAGCAATAGACGCAATCTACATAGACTTCTGTAAAGCCCTTGATTCAGTGGTACACAAAAAACTACTCCTAAAACTAAAATCTTATGGTATCTCTGGACACCTGCATAACTGGATAGAAGCATTCCTGTCAAACAGACAACAAATGGTCAAAATTGGGAGCATCCTATCAAATTCTGTACCTGTCAACAGTGGTGTCCCCCAAGGCAGTGTTCTAGGACCAACTCTTTTCATACTCTATATAAATGTGATCTGTGATCATATCAAGAGCAACTACACTCTCTTTGCTGATGATGTAAAGCTATTCAACACCACAGACAATACTGCTACCCTTCAAAAAGACTTATGTATCAGAATGGTCAAAGAAATGGCAACTTCAGATCTCAACAAATAAATGCTCTGTTCTAGATATTGGCAAAAAAAAATCAGAAAATAAAATACAGGCTGAATAGTCAAGACCTTGTTGATGATCCAAACTCTGTCAAGGATCTTGGAGTACTCATCTCAAATGACTAAGTGCTAGAGCCCACTGTAACTACATAGCCAAAAAGGCGTCAAGAGTTGTTAAATCTTGCATAGCTTTTTCTCTGGTAATATTACACTGATATCTAGAGCACACAAAACATTTGCTAGACCAATACTGGAATACAGCTCATCAGTCTGGAACCCACATTACGTATCTGATATTAACACAGTTGAGAAAGTCCAGAAATATTTCACAAGAAGAGTTCTCCACTTCTCCACTCACTGCCACCAGACTCGAAATTCTAGACCTAGAAAACCTAGAACTACGCTGCCTTCAGTCCGATCTAAGTATAGTATATAAAATCATACATTGCATGTCCTACCTGCCAATGAATACTTCAGCTTCAACCATAACAACACAAGAGCACACAATAGATACAAACTCAAGGTTAATCGCACCAAACTTGATTGCAGGAAATACAACTTCAGCAACAGAGTGGTCAATGTCTGGAATACTCTACCTGACACTGTGGTTTTTTCCCCAAACTCCAAAAACTTTAACCTTAGACTGTTTACTATTGACCTCACCCCTTTCCTAAGAGGTCTGTAGGGGGCTTGCATAAGTGCACCAATGTGCCTACCATCCCTGTCACAGAACCACAGATTCATTTAGAGATCTATCTATCTGCCATTGGCTAGCTCAGTCTGTCACATAAAATTTGCTTGCAAGCAAACTCACAAAATGAACTCACAACACACCATGTATGTAAATATTGATTTTTTTATAAAAGAAGAGCAACTTTTACCCAAAATCAGGCAAAGCAGGCAGGCAGATTGAGTTGCTCACAGAATCATTCAGTGATCTATTTATCTGCCATTGGCTAGTTCAGTCTCTCAAATTTGCTTGCTGTGAGTCTGCACTGAATAATAGAACCTTCAGTCCCACTGGTGGGCAACCACTGCTCCACAGTATTGTCATTTGTTAAAGATTAATAATGAACTTTTGAATTAATATGAAACCAGTTTCAGATTTTAGACCTCAAGATGCTCTTTACTTTTATATTTTCTTCTGTCAATAGCTTCAAAGAAAACAACTTGGAAGTTACAGATATTTTTTCCTAACTGCTTCTTAAGTAGCAAGAGACAAGAATTAGAGCAAGGTTCAAAAAGGTTAGGTTTTAACAGTTGTTTCCCATCAGTACTGACTCCAAATCTTTGATACAGTGCCAAAATAAATAACAATTCGATTTAGCCCAATGGATTGTCTACTATTTGTCGAGTGGTGGGATTCAATTTTTTTTACTA